AATATGATTTCACATGCTCAAAAACAAAAACATCATTTGCTTTACCTGCTTCTCTTCCAATGAGTCTAATCTCCCATCCTGCAACAATGTGGAGTAACTAAAAGTTATAGGGAAGAAAAACGACATAATGTATAAACAGAGAGGAGCTTTAGCAACTTCCACCTGTTTGATAAAACTCAAGAAGGCAGAGACACTGGTAAACAGTTGAACAGAAAAATATGATAAAACTCACCAAACCAAAAATCAAAGCATGCAGCTTATCCAAATTATATTTAGCATCAGAAAGAGTATCGTCAGTTGCCTCCACCTGTTCCAAAATTTCAAATCCATCAAAGCTGGAAACACAAATTCCACTGATTCATTCAACTATCCTTTACATGAAATCAAATAAAAAAGACAAGAAATTGTTTGAACTAAACTATCAAGTATCAACTAGGTAAATGCTGATGGATAAGGATAACTACCCATACTGGGATGATCTACTCTAAATAACTAAATGTGTATAAAAATTAAAAGAAAAGGGTTAAAAATGGAGACATCAGTAAAGTGCTAATACGGCTATAATTTACATGAAACTAGATGTATAAGGCTTGAACATTGAAGTGAGAATCAAAACTTTTTCCACTTACACTTGCTTGAATATCTCCCCAGACTTTCTTTTGTTCTTCTATTCCAACACCAAGTTTTTTAATTCGTTCTGTCAACTTCTGCTTTGCTTCCTGTCAAAAGCAGATTTATAAGCACAATCAATGGTTGAGAATATAACAAGGTGATTCTAAGAAAACTAGGGAAACTTACCTTTTAAAAAAGCATATTGACTCAGGTAAATCAAAATACTTTCAGGGAAAAAGAAAAAAAAAAGTCCAACTCAATTGATTTGATACTTCCACGTTAATCGTTAGAAAAGCATAAAGGGTATGAACCATGAAGTCTCACACTGAAAATGGAGTGTGAAAAGGCAAATAGAAATAGTATTCTTTTCTTTTAGCAAAGCTACTTTCAGAGTTTTCTAGTTTGTAGTCAGAACTAGCTAAAGATCAATGGTAAGAGAGAACATCTCAGTTAATAAAATAAACAAACACCAAACCTACAAATTATTTTGCCAAAGAGAGATGATTAAGGAAAATAAAATCTATATTATCTTTTCAAGCAGTAATCATCCTGCAGAAATCATATTAGTGGAAGCATAAACAAAGAAAAAGCATTGGGTGAAACACAAACTTACAGATAAAGCAGATGACACAGATTCCAGATGTTTTGACAAGTTCTCAACAGCAGCAGCCATATTATGCTTTGTTACCCACAAAAGATCTTTGCATGAAATGCCCTATTAAATTAAAAAGAACGTTACAAAAAAGGGGACAAGTTCATTCCATAAGACC